CATATGACCCGAATAATAGTATGTTTTATCCTTACAATAAAAAAAAACATTAATGGGGCTTCCGGCCAGACTGCTCATCGCCATATATATATTCTTTTTTTCATTCTGTCTATTTTATTCGCTTGTTTTTCAACCAATATTTTTTTCTTTCCTGTCTCTCCTGTGTCTAAACAGAACAAGTACCTAATTTTTTAAATAAAGGTTTTGTCTTGTCTATCAGTTATTCGATTTCTCATTTTTTGCTGTATGAACTTTGATTTTTCTATAACGATTAATAAAACTTGCTAAAACGTCTGTACATTCTATTACAGTGCTTATTTTTTAATACAAAACTCTCAAAATCCATTTTTTTTGCTGATTATAGAAATCATCAAAATTTTTCGCCAAACAGGAGGTGCTGAGGAAAAAAATAATATCATTTCTGAAAGATCTGAAGAAAGACTATCTTCCCATACATTTATCTCAATTTCGGAAATTCTGACGAAAATTGACTTTTTTTGAGGGAAGGGAGGCCTTGAATAAAATGTTTAATTATGAAGTATCTCTTTTGATAAGCTACGATGATAAATGAGTAGATAATGCATCTTTTACGTTAGCACAAGGATACTGTACCAGCATAAAGAATTTATTTATTTTTTGCAGCTGAACTCACTATGATTTTTTCTCTATAGAAGATTCGAATAGCAGAAGACGTGCTTAATGATGCGCCGTCATAAATGTGAACCGACACACCAGTTCACGTCATCAGAACTAGGAAAATAAGTCATTTTCAAGCAAGTCCCTCTACATTCATCAATTTATCGACGTAAAAAAAAAGATACAGATTACTTATATGCGAGCAGAATACATTTTATTAGCCTTATGAATAATAAATTACTCATACATGTGTTCGCACTGCTAGAAAAGAATAAAGATACCATTGTCACAATTATATTTTTAGCTTTTTGAGAAGTTGGCGAAATTGAAAATGGTGTCTAGCGTAACACGGCAATGGGTAAGTGAGCAATGATGAATTTGCACTTGAATTCACAATATTTTTCTACCTAGATTTCGATACCCAGTGAATTGATTGGTTCAATTCCACGTACAAGTGAATTACTTGAAGCTCGTATTCGATATGAAAGCGATCTAATAACCATTGAAGATTTACATAAAATAGAAAAAAAAGCAGTGGAGCAAACAGTCATCGAATTAGATCAACTGACCGGATCGATGGTCTTGACTGACGGTGAACAAACGAAACCTTCATTTCTGACCTATCCAATTTATGATCTCGTTTTTGAACGATATACATTTGATGAACAATGTTTTCAAATTAAATTTACCGACGGTATGTGAACGCATCTATGAATTAGAAACGCAATCGATACCCAATAGTTTGCAGTGGAAAGGACCTTCAGACTATTTCGCATGTAGAATTAAGTAGAGCATATAAACTTTCTTTATGTCAGGTGTAAGATACCAATTTTTACTATTTGCGCTCGAAAAATTCACTGAAATGCTCTCGATTTCCATCTGAATACGATCACTCTTTGCTCTCTTATATGAAAGTATCTTCATAGGTCATGTACGAACCCTGCCGCGTCTTATCAAAGCACCTTTCAAATATGCCACCTATGCCTACAAATATTTGGAAGTGGCTAAACGGTTGACCAACAAACCAGTCAAACAAGCTGTTATTACGGCATCAGCACTGTCCATGGTCTATGCACCGCATCTACTAAATAGTGGTCATATTGACAATTATTCACACGAAGAATTCCTCAAGGATTTAACGGATGAATGTGAAAGAGATATTCGACTTTGTCTCGGTATGTTGAATTCGGCATACAATTACTTTTACCAAATAAATGTTTTAGAATATGGAGCACATGTTGTTCAACTTGATTTTACAGAAGCTCGCCTGTCACTAAAAGTTGATCCGAGTGGTCGATTACTCAAAGATTTTATTGCAATCAATAATCGAGTTTTAGATAGATTCAATGCGAATGAGCAGAAGAAAATTGGCGTACATGTTTGTCCCGGTGGCGATTTAGACTGTTGTGTGAGTCTTTTATTGATGACTCCAAGAAAAAACTAAAAAAAAGATGAGATTTTCCTGCTAATCACTTTTGAGTAATACCTAGCCGAGAAAAATGAGCCAAATTTTTCAAGAAATTGAATATGCAGGAATCGAAAATGGTTTTATACTTTTCGAAAGATGAGTCGAGTAATTAAATGCATTATTAAAGTTATTAAATAATTATCTTGATGCGATTTTTCTCTTCGAAGAATATCGAATCAACAATAAAAATGCTTCATCTTTATTTTGTTCTTTGCAGCATTCATCTGATATTGATTATACTCTCATGTTGCCCGATTTATTTCAATTAAACTTAACCAATTTTTATCTTCAACTATCGTCTGAAAAAAATCGTATCAAAGTATTGAAATGTATTCAGAAGCATATGAAACCGAATCATCGTATTTTCGTCGGTGTTATCGATCCCATTAATCCGACAATCGAATCAGCCGAAATGATCCGAGATCAAATATTAGAAGCAGCACAATTTATTCCCGTTGAACAACTTGGCACGACTGATGATTGTGGCTTCAGCCCATTTGCCGATGATATATCCACATCAAAGGAACTGTGTTATGAAAAAATCAAAGCAAGAATTCAAGGAACTAAGATGGCTGAACAAATCTTAAATACACAATGATAAACATTGTTGGCAATCTATTATCTATAGTCATGCATTACTGCTGTGTTGTTCTTTTTATTCACTTTTAGATAACGTAGTGTGTAGAATGATGTAACCACATGTGTCCTAACGTCTATACTTTAGCCTTATGGAATATTCTAATCGATATTGTAATGATCGATTGTATGCTTGAATGTATCGGTATGGATGAAGGCGAGTAGAATACCTCACCCAATTATTTCATTAATAATGACTGGTGAGAATAAAAATAATGAAACTCATATCGATGCTTCTGGCTCCCGATTCCGACCAGAAACGGTTGTATACAATAGTTTTTTGGTGTGTTTCCTGCAGGATTCGTTCAACTTTCCCGCAGAAAACCGCTGCAAAAATATCGAAACATGAAAGTAGTATTCTGGATCAGAAAGCTATCGCATCGACACCGTGGATGGATAGAAACTTCACCGAACCTCACCAAAAGAGTTCAAGAAACCGGCTGGTACTATCACTGAAACTCATCGTATCTACACGGTTGGAAAAAATATTATTCCAGGGGGGTAACGCTATAATTTCAAATAGAAGACATAATGAATTTTATATCAAATGAAAGCTCGTCAAAAATGGGGTTTATTGGTATTAAATAGTGAAGGTTATCAAAACCTTTTAATGTCGAGCTTAATAAATTTTCAGAAATTTTATACTTTTTTTGTGATGGAAAATTAAAGTACCAGTGATTCAAGAATGGAGTAAAACGTTTTTCTTGAATATTTTTACACGGTTCGATAGAGCTCGTCGAGCTCTACAAAACTGTATACATTAAAAACTTTTTAAGTCACTTTTTTGCGATAAAAAATTCAAAAAAGGATTTGGAAAATCTTAGAAAACGTTAAACAAATTCATATCGTTTATGTGGAAGAACAACACTTAATTTTTCAATAAAATCAGCTTCTTTCATTAGTATTCTTATGGAAGATGTTTGAAATATATTCATTGGATGCAGCGTGAAAAATCGCATCGAATGAGTATATTTTGAAACGCCTGGCGGAGTAAAAACAATGAAAAAAGCTGATTTTATTGAAAAACTAAGTGTTGTTCTTCCACATAAACAATATGAATTTGTTTAACGTTTTCTAAGATTTTCCAAGTCCTTTTTTAAATTTTTTATCGCAAAAAAGTGACTTAAAAAGTTTTTAATGTATACAGTTTTGTAGAGCTCGACGAGCTCTATCGAACCGTGTAAAAATATTCAAGAAAAACGTTTTACTCCATTCTTGAATCACTGGTACTTTAATTTTCCATCACAAAAAAAGTATAAAATTTCTGAAAATTTATTAAGCTCAACATTAAAAGGTTTTGATAACCTTCACTATTTAATACCAATAAACCCCATTTTTGACGAGCTTTCATTTGATATAAAATTCATTTGTCTTCTATTTGAAATTATAGCGTTACCCCCCCTGGAATAATATTTTTTCTAACCGTGTACTGAGGAGCTATTGTGTGATCCATTCCGGCAGACCCAACCATGAAAATCATAATCCAATATCGGATTACGCAAGAAGTCTCTGCTTACTTACAAAATACCAACGTGATGCGAGCTGCCGGATGCTCTTGATGGCAGAGCCTGCCTTTAGCGAAGATTTGGGCTCTCCTTTGATGTCGGTATCTCAGTTTGTGTCTACTGTGTTAGTGTGTGGATGTGGGTGTGGATGTAGGTGTCTTCTTGTCTTCATCCACATTCACATTCACACCTCACAGGGCGTAGAGTGGGTGTGGTTGAAAAGTTCCCTATGTCTATTCTCACATCCATATTCACACCCACACCCTCCATAGTGACAAATTTGAAACACAAGAGATGAAGTTGTCTTTGTCAATTTTACATAAGATTTGATTTTATGTTCTTGATTTGTTTCCGTTTTCAAACTGATATTAAGAAAATATGACTATGATTCGTCAAAACTGAAGAAACTTAGAACAAGCTATTGATAAAATTATCAAAAAAAAAGAAATTATTTTCTTAAGATGATAAAATAAATCGGTTAACAATAAAATGGAAACAAGAGATAAATCTTTTATTGAAATGAGTTGTTGACACTACTTTATATTATTTATAAGTTAAAAATAAAAAAAAGATTCTTTCTCTATTTAACAAAATGTGTTTTTTTTTAATATTTAGTTTCAAATATCCTTGTCAGTTTTCTTTAAATACTCTAAATTAAATCTGAATAAAAAGATATTGAATAATATGTATGTTAGTCTTTTGGAAAAGAGAAAAATTATTTCTTTTTCATTATAAACGATTCGTATAGAATAAACTTAACATTTTTTTTTCTTCCGACGCAATAACAAACTCAACAGATTTATTTGCGCATTGCTTCTTCTTTTTCGGGTGCGAGTAGTTGTGAATGTGGGTGAGGGTATTATATTCATGCGATACCCACAACCACATTCTCAAGCTAGGTAAATAATATCGATTAACAAGTTGGATCATTACTAATCTTCTTTCGGGTCAATCATTCGAAAAAGACATATTTCAAATATTAGAAGAAAATAATTTTATTACAAATCCTCAAATTGATAAAGTCAATTTAGAAATCTTAAGTGATATTGTGCATGTTCTTAAGAACAGAAACAATATTACTCACTTAAAAATCAATTATTTAAATATAAATGACGAAGAAACTATAATCTTTTTTGACTATTTAAAGCAAAATACCGTTCTGAAAGAACTTCTAGTAGCTCGATGTGAATGTAATAATATTGGTTTTCAATCTCTTCTTTTCTTCTTACCTAATTCATGGTCTCAATTAAAGTTGAAAAAGAATCGAATCACTTCAAAAAGTTTACCTTCTTTACTCGCTTTTATCAAAGTTCATTCAAATTCAAAAGAAATTTCTTTAGGAAAAAATCGTTTAAACAGAAATAACTCAAGTGAATTAAATCGAACTCGATTAATGGACGAAATAATGAATATTACAAATAAAAATCATTGTGTTTTCATCATATAAATAAAATTTACAAACAATATCAAATTGGAAAAATTCATTCAAACTTTTATTTCTTTTGCCTTTTTTTTGAACTCAATTACTTAATCTTTTTGAAATAATCACAATCGATTTTAATATAACTAATCATAGATAGTTTGCAAATAAACTGATCTTTTACCAGAAAAAACATTGTTATTTCAATACATATGTAGATAACCATAGGTCGAGGGAACATCAGTCGATGAGATTGAAGTACGTTCGACAAAATTCGAAAGAAATTTCGAAAATTATCAAAAGAAATATCATAGAATGTTCATCAGATGATTTTGGCTTTGAAACTATTTAAATAATTCTTGATTATGGATTAAACCTATAGATTTGAGATACTCAAGGACTATTTGATTAAGATTAATATCAGGATATCAATTAGGTTTATAGAGTTTATTCGTTAGTATTTATTCATGTATCCATTCATCTGATATTATCAATAATATCGATTATTATTCGGTATCCTTTCTAGAATTGTTAAAGATAACAATGAATAATAATTGATGTTATTTCACATCTCATTGATATGATACGAAATCTTATTTAGAGTTGTTGGAATAGATGGAATGTTGTTACTTCTGTGATTTCATGATAAACTTAAGAAGTTTATTAATAATATAAATAAGAAAGTGTAGAGAATGCTATTTAGGTTTTGTCTTCTGTTTGGTGTTGAGCTTATTTTTTGAGGTTTCAACTATTAAGACTTCAAATAATCACTCTTTTTTTAAATCTAGTTAGACATTGTTCATGTGTTAGATTTAATAAAAGACATTTCTTCGTTATGATCTTTCTTTGAAAATTGTTCCTGAATTTAGACATCATTTGATAAGTGAGTTGGTTTTAGTTAGAAATTTTGGTTATCCTCAATTGGATATGTTTTTCAACATTATCGTGTATCTTCAATAATTGAGATCATATAGAAAGAATTTGCTTGTCTCTGATAATCAATAATAAAGTGAATGACAGCGATAATGAAGAGATATATTTTGAAAATAATGCTTTCAACTGATAATAGATGTATCTTGAGAAACAACTGAAGAAAATAGAATAAACATTAGAGAAATGTCAATGCAAAAGTGATTCATTAAAATATAAGATGAATTTGATTGAATGTCATTCATTCCTAAAAGGAGGGTAGATGTGAGTGCGGATGTGAGATGAGAATAATACCGAAACCCACACCCATACCCCCTCAAGGTACTTGTGTTCATCATGGAAAGAATTATATCCAGCTGTGAGACGAATTCATTAAGAAAGAGTGTGGGTAAGAATGAGTATAATCTCCACATCATACACACTTATATTCATTTCATTATTCGCAAATTTTATGGTATATAATTTTTACATCATCCATTGTTTAGAAAAAAAATCACATCACGGAAAGGAGAAAAGAAAAAAAAGAAGAGTTTTCTGTGTTCTCTTCTCAACATGTGATGCTCCATGTCTGTATAAAAAAATGAAATCTTTCTTCTTCTACCAATTGCATATTACGAAACAAGAGCGTTGTTTTTCTTTAACTTTTCGTTTCTCTGACAACTTTTACTCTGTTGTTGTTTTTTCTCGTTCGCTACGGTCATTTCAAGCACAAATCAAAAGAGTGTTGCACGGCAGAATATTACATTTGGAATAGAATTATTAAAACAGCAACGCACATTCATTTTTGCATTCTTATTTTACTTTAAACAAGAAAAAAAGTATACAATGTCTGTAGCACTTCCAGGCGATCGAAACAAAGAATCAGTCGATAACATCACGGGTGCACCCGATATAGCTGCTCAACAAAAGCTTGAGCATCAAGCTGCAACACAATCCTCTTCATCAAGTCAACAACATGTTGATGGTGGAAGTGGACAACAGCATCTATCTGAATCGTCTAAAACGTTCAGCCAACAAGTTAATGATAATAAAACTGGACAACACTAAACAAAACAGTATATGTACTATGGACACTTATTTGATATACATAACAATTCAAAACAGACTTCTACACATTTTAATCCGTAAATTTTCTTGCACACGAGACATTTTTACTGTTGCAGTTGCCAATTCATAGATATAGTGTGATATGAAATAAAAATTTTGAATTTATCAATCTGAAAACAAGAAAGGTTCCGAAGTTTGTAAGTGCTGCTGTATGAGGTAGCTTTTTGGGGCAACCTAGATTACCCTTTATTGAGGACAACTGCTGATTTGATCTTGATCGAACTATTGAACATTTAAGATGCAACACAATGTTTATTGAAGGGGTGTGGGTGTGGAGTGTGGGCGTGTGTATGTCGGTATGTGAGTGTGGATGTGAATCTCTTCTCCAACCACACCCGCACACAACACACACCCATATCCACACCCCACCATTATACCTGTACACACATCTGTTAAAAAACCTTCATTGGGTTCGCTTAACTTAACAAAATGAGGAAAGAATTTTATCATATATGAATATAGCATGTAGTAACAACAAAATGATCAAAGTCAATCGAGAATTGATTGAGTTAACAATTGAAAAATTTGATAAAATATTTTACTTTTTACAAAATATAGTACATTTAACATAATCTAATCAATATATTTCATAAAAAATCTTCTAAAGAATATCAATCATATCTCTTAATTCATTTTTATCTCATCTAGTTTACGAAGAAGATAAACAACTAGAATTTATCTAAATATCTGCATATGATAGAGTCTATTCCGTGGTTAATTTTATAAGAACAAATTAGTAGTCCTAAAATGTTATTTTATTTTTTTGAGACATGTAATTAGTTGATTATTAGATACTAATGAATATTAAATGTTATTAAATCAATGTATTAATTAACAAAAAATGTTTTAAAGAATTGATATTGTAGAATAATTTAGTTTTATTTTAAAACTGATTTATTGATTAGATTTCTTTAGTTGTATAAGCTTGACATTCAATAGCTACTTTGGCATTGAATGGTAATTTGACAACACCCATTGATGATCGTGCAGGATAAAATTCAGGTGATTTAAACCATTGTGAATACATTTGATTAACTATTTCATAATCTTCTTCAATATTTGTTAAAATAATAAGACAATGAGCTAATTGATCAACTGAAGATCCAGCAGCATTTAAGACTGCTTCTAAGTTTTTTAACACTTGATGTGTCTGATCAACAACATTATCTGATATCATATGACCAGTTTTTTGGATCTATACCAATTTGTCCAGTAAGATATAACATATAATTTATTTGAATACCTTGATTAAATGGTGCTACAGGTGCTGGTGCATCCTATACGAACAAAAATTAATGGATAACAAAAAAAACTAATGATTGAGCAAATTCATTTACTTGTGTATATATTACTTTCCTTGTCACAGTATAATCTTTGATTGGGAGGATTGGTTTACTATTAACAAGAACAACAAGATATAATAACGCAACTAGCAGCATCATTTTTATCAAAGTATGAGGACTAAATAAATTTTTTGTAAAGAAGTAAAAGAGAATGATGTTCTTCTTGCTTAAATGATAAGATAAACTATTATATATATAGACATTTTTAAACACTTTATAACGAAAATAACAGACGATAACAAATGACGTCGAATCTTTACTTTCATTTTAAATATTTTAAAAACTAATTGATAAAAAGTTCTATTATTGAACTGACGAACTGATATTTCTCTCATTGATTTTATCTTAAATTATAAAAAGAGGAAGTTTCTATGTCATATGTTTTTATAACTTGTTATGAATTACAATTCAATCTGAATAAACAGTCATAAGTGTTTAAAAAGCGGACATCAATTTGTTTTTTTTTCCAATTATGTCATACTTACGAGATATGGGTGTTACATGCATTGCAGCATCCTGACAAAATACGTGAGGGACGCCCTTTTTTCAACTACTTTTTCTCTAGGATTCATAGTGTTAGTGCTTTTATTTTTATCTATTGCTATGATTATAAAAGCTCGAAGTCAAGGTTTCAGTCTTCAATTGCTCTCGTGTTTTGTAATGCATTAAAGAAAAATTAACTTCGATAAGCATAAGTAGTCAACTATTAGTCCATGAATAATATGGCACGAAGATCATTGACTAAATTTTTCAATGACACCGAAGTAAGAAGTCACCAATGTTCGTACTGTCGTTTCAAAGATGACACTTTTTATTATTGCGAATTCATCGTTCTATCTATAATTAATAATAGTTTTGCTTATTTTTGATTACTTCACCCGAATTGATTATTAGATTTTATTGAATCCAAAAAATAAGTTCTCGAGATTTATTGAAATTTAGAAGTTTTACGACAAAAAGTGACATATGCGAAGCAATTTTACAATCTATTGTAATATTCAACGATATCAAATAATAGAATCAGATGACTTTGCCGTAGAAATTCAACAATATTTTTCTCTTACAGTAAACAAAGTATATCTACTGACTGGCGAGATTAGTATATCGAGTGAACACTAGATAAAGGTCGGACGTATGTTTTAAGTGAACCAATACTCTTCCGACAATTGCTGAATGTCTACGACATCATTGAAGTTGTCTGACGATTAGTTCTGAATAATCAATTTTATCTTTGAAACTACGGTTCTATATCGACACATCCATACATATAAATAATGCCCAGATAAAGAGTATTGAAATTCTGGAATCTCACTCAAGAATCAGATAACGATATAATTTTTTCTGGCCTGAATAATATAGATGGGATATATCGTGAAGTCCACACTAATATCAATGACAGAACTGAAATCACATAAAAATTGGCAAAACATTACTAAACAAACGTGTAAACAAGATCGTATGATTATATTTGAGGAGTAAAAAAAGCAATGCTTTTTCTTAAAATTATGATTCACATCTATTTAATGAATATTTCTACCTTATACTCCTACTAGAAACAACGAATTCTCATGAAGATAAGTTCAATAATGCTGCTACTCATCTACAAGTGGTAATCATCATATGGTTATACAATTTTCTTTTTAAAATAGTAATATGCAATAATCATAATGTTTGTAGATATATATTCTAGACTATCGTCAAAGTAAACGAAAAAAAAGATTTATCCTCACTGTGGTATAGAATACGATCATCTGATCATATATCTTACTCTGAAAAATATTTGTTGGCACTCACGAATAAATTCTTGACTTATTTTCAAATGAATAATAGATTTGGGTGTGAGTATGGATGTAGTTCTTCTCTATGCTCACACCTACACCAAATACTTGATTATTTCTTTGATGTAAGACATAGTTCTATAGTAATGAAAACAATGGAACTGTAATTGCTCGGTATTGATAATTCGTTTGGTTTCATACAAATTAAATCGAGATTTAGTCCTAGTCAACAACAATACTGTCAATAGCAGAGAAGTTAGCATTATGTCTTTTCTTACTCGGCTTAATATGAGATATCAGTAAAAAAAAGGCATATTTTGCCCTTTTACTTATAGAAAAAATAATAAATTTATTTGACATATCTTTGGTTTACTGTTGACAATCGTGATATTATACTCCTACTATGAATATGTCTGTGTGCATTGTTCTGTTTTACTTTGAAGAAATGCATGATGAATTATAGAGCAGAATATGATATTTTTCGAAATAACTCCTAATGTATTAAAAGCAACTCTAAGACGCACATAAGTCAATTCATGTGAGTAAAGGATCATCAATTAAACAAACAACTGAATGAGTAACTCGCATATATTAATACTCTTAATGTTCATCTTAAAAGTTAAAATGAATCTATAAAATGTGTTCTCTACAATGCAGAACTCATATTAATGTTATTGATATAGATCCGCTCGAATGTGTTTTAACTAATAATGTCTCATATTCTGTTCATCTGAAATACTATCCACACATTATGTCGTCACTAGAGCATGAAAAGAATCATCTTAATAATTAGCGTCACTTGTTTTTTTAACTGTTTGTAACGAAATAGATAGTAGCATAAGGAAGTTTAGATTCGAGTTTGAGAAAAAAATGGTCATTAAATCTGCAAAAATCAATATCATATATTGAAATAGAACTGTCATATAAATATCTAACATCTGCTGAATCATTCGTGTCGAATATTGTTGTTGTTCTAAAAAAATCAAAAAGAAAATTAAACATGAACCTTTGTTTTTTATATAGATATAATTTACAAGTAGCAATCAACTACCAATTTGACCTTTTTACTACGACCAACATCAACTCTTTCTATTTGCAAATATATATTAGCATAGATACCCTACATAATGATACAGTTAAAACCACTAGTCGACATGTTAAGCACTATACTTTCTCACAAATCTTTGTTTAATTTTTCTTCTTTTTATAGGCTTGAGTTCCTCATTGAACTTCTTTTGATATTCATGTTGAAGAAAAATTAAGTACATTAATGATTCGGTTTGCATTAGTCATAGTCCAACCTCAAGGAACCATTGATTTATAACATCTCTTCGGAGTCTTTTAAAAGTAACAAATTACATACATATATACTATGTCAACTTTTTTTTACAAATTTTTAGCTTCTTTCCAGAAGTTCAATAAGTGGGAAGCTGTACAATATCTTCGACCACTTTGTAGCAGAGGTAGATAACTTGTCAATAAGTACTGCCAAATTTTAAATTGTTTCTCTTTTATTTTTACTGATAAAATGCTGATTATCGAATTGAATCATGGCGAGATGAGTCTGAACATTGTTGTTTTTGATCTTCAATAGCAATGCAACGAACCAATCTTAATCGAATGACGAATTTTAGAATATGGCTGTCGTTTACACAGATCTCATATTGGTCCCTTATCAGTTCCGAGTATGAGTGAAGAGAAGATTGACATCGGCAACCATACCTACTGTAGTTTTTCATCTCAATTCATTTATTATTGATTTTTGTGCTTGATCTAATTTGGCTAGTCTCTGACAGTCAGTGGTTATAGCAGAATGAAAAGTTTCATTCTCTACCAGGCACTAATCTTCATTGTTTCGACATTCACAACGGATCAATGATAGATATCACCGTCAATTCAAGGTTAATGTTAGTGAACAAAATCGACGACGATAACGAAAGATAATCCAACATGATCGAGATCGATGATTTGAAGAATCATCGCGTTCTATTTTGCCTACTGAAGCTATCAAATATCTATATATCGGATTATCATTCAATATCCAATCAAGATTGCATAAACTAGAGTTTCACCATACTTCGTTAGATGTTCTAACCTTCTCAGATTATATATCTTCCTTCAAATCATTCGACAGATCGCAAATGGAAAGGATACTTATTTCCCTACTATAACAATGTTTACAATATACTCATTGAATATTGCATACTTACTATCATGCATTGAATACAATCGAAATGCCTGATCATCTTTATCTGATTGATGATTTATGATCTTGTCACAACTAGCTGCTATCATAAAAACTCTCATAGTTTCTTCTTGATATACTGAAAAAGAGCTGAAACGTAAAACTTAAAGGTACGAGCTGCTCAAGTTCCAGTAGTTCTTTTTCAGCATTTGATACAAGAATATTTGAATTTCTTCCTTTTTAAGATACATCGAACAGATAGGAACCATCTTAATGCTCACATTTAGGAAGTTTCTCTAGAATAATGAAAACTATTAGTAGTAAACAATCCATCTTTTTGCTTATTGATTATTAATACAGTCGCATGAATATAGTGATTGGGAATAAATTGAGATTTGATTTTATTAGAGATCTATTGTTATAGTTTAATGATGAAGGAATAAAAGCAATATAAGAATAGAAGTTATAGTCATTTATAAGCATTTGTGAGTGTTTACAGAGTTAATGAAACGAGCTCTCTCGTTTAAAATGTTCACTTTTTGTTTTAGAGAAAATTTGTTCAATAGTAATAAATATTTGTCCATGATCGTTTGTAATTTTTCAAATAACAATAGGATTTAACAGTTGCGTCATAATACGTATCTTTATCCAAAAACCCAACGACTAATAGCAGCGAAGTTATCGGCGAGTACTTGAATTAGAACGCTCATCGAAACACAAACATAGTCATTTGGATAAGCATTTCGTACATAGTAACCGTACATACACGTATGACCTGGTCGACGACGTAATGGACCAACTGCATTATCGGCTGCTGTTTGTTTTCTTGTTGTCGGTGTTACACATACATAATCATAATTATCAGCTTCTCGCCAAACAAATCCATTTCGACATGTCAATGGTCCATAGACAAACTGACTCGGATTTCGACGATTAGCTGCTTGATTATTATCATTTTGTGCTTGAGTTCGAGTCTCAGGTAATACACATACATGATCATTAGAAGAGTAAGCTTCTCGCCAAACATAACCTTGCTTACATGTATCTACACCAAAAGGTCCACCCGATGGATTACGACGTGAATCAGCAGCAGCATTATCAGCCCAAGTTTGACTTCGTATTGTTGGTATAACACA